CTCAAGCCCCACCCCCATCTCCTACCTACCAGCCTCATCCCACCCCCTTGACCCGTCTGTCCTCCCTGGACTGACCTATGCCCTCCCTAACTCCCCACCTACCCTCACCTTTACTGCTCCAACCCCGCCTCTTTGACCTGTCTGTCTCCTCTCCACCTATCTTCTCCTTTATCCCTCTTCTATCCGCCTCCCCCTCTCTCCCTATTTATTTCAGAATCCCCTTCCCCTCCGCCGTTTCTGAAGAAGGGTCTAGACCCGAAACGTCAGATTTCCTGCTCCTCCGATGCTGCTTGGCCTGCTGTGTTCATCCAGCTCTACACCTTATTATCTCTATGAGCACTTTTTTTCAAGCCATGTATGAAGAAGTCATAACATGTTATAAAAGAGGTGATAAATCCTCTAGTGTGTCAAAGTTTTATATTTTATAACCAATATGCAGGCAAAAATATTGCAAATTATGTTATTATAAAACTTAATTTTATAAAGCTGAATGGCAATAAAAACAATTTATCAACTACCATACCGATATTAATAAAGTATTAGGATTGTAGAATAGAACAACTACCAACAAAGTTATATCAGCAGCCAGTATAAAATATAGTTGCTCTGAGTACTTTGAATTCAGATAAGTAAGAAGGAAATATCAGATACAAAGGGAGATATTTGGAATAGCACAATCATCCATTACACTCGTGTTCTTTGCTCCACTCTGTCTGGCAATTCAAGTTATTTCTGCAGCCCCAACTGAAAACTGTCTACATGACTTCACAAGGCAACCAGACACTTAGCAAAGTTGCCACCACACTACCAATCATTGATAATAGAATACAGAATTCTGCTTATTTCTGTCATGGACGTACCTTGCCAACAGTTCTTCAAGGCTCACAATGCCTTCCTTGTGCAAACGCCAAACAATTTCCAAAGTGGGTAATTCCTACGTCAAAGAAAAATGATAATATCCCTATCAGCAACAGCCATGGGAATACAGGCCCTATGAGAACATAGCATGTATACAATACTAGGTAGACCATCAACTACAGCATAAATCAGTATCAGGAAATAAATAATACATTGAAGACAAGGTAAAGGAATGCTCTACATTGAATAGAATTATACCCGCTGACAAATTAGCACAAGCAGTAAAATTTTGAAAATCTAACTTTTTTTTAAGCAAATTAACGTGGAGTGGATAATTAACATGGATCTCATAATTGGAATGTACCAGTACAATAGGTAATATATTACAATTGGTAGGACACATTAAGTTTAGTCCATTTTTTAAAATTAACATCAAGTTACAACATGAAGGAAGAGAAGCTCTTGTGGTACAGTGATAGAGTTCCAACCTCTGAGCCAGGAGATCTGGATTCAAGTCCCACCTACCCCAGAGATCTGTCATAACATGACTGAACAGGTTAGTTAAAAGTGTTGACTAGCATATAGTGAGGCATAAATACAAAACTGCTAAAAAAAAGTCACATGACTGATCAGCTCAACAGCACCTCATCTCATGCTAACCAGGCACAAAAATATTGCATAATTATATCGTATTTAAATCATAGAGATATTTATTCCAGCTGTTCATTGCTACAGTTGTTGGTTTTGCAGCTTGTGCTATCACCAGCTATCTATCTCCGGAATTATGATTCTCAGTCACATAAATATTGCTAGTCTGCAGATTTTTCTCCCAGGGACACCTTTTGAAAAGTTTGAATATAGAATGAATTCAGCAGGCAAGGAACATGCTATAAATATCTTTCAGTCTAAAAAATTGTAATGTTTTAGGTGAACCGCAGAATCCCTCGTTTTTAAAAGAGTATTTCAGAAATTTGACAAGCCTACATTATATAAAATTCTTTGACATTAAAGTAAAATCACACAAAAGCAACATTTTAAAATATATATATTCAACTCTTGAGACATGTGTGTTGCTGGCTGGCCAGGATATGCCTGTCCCATGTTGACCTTGATAAAGTGGTAGTGAGCTGCCTTCTTGAACCTCTGCACTTAACATGCTATAGCTTGATTCACAATGCACATAGGGATGGGATTCCAGGATCTTGGCCAGCGACACTGAAGGAACAGTGATGAATTTCCAAGTCAGGATGGTGAGTGGCTTGGAAGAGAACCCATAGGTAGTGGTGCTCCCATGTATGTGTTGCCCCTGTCCTTCTTGAAGGAAGTGGTCATAGGTTTGGAAAGTGCTATCTGAGGATCTTTGGTGAATTTCTGTAGTGAATTTTGTAGATAGTATATACTGCTGCTACTGAGTGTCGGTGGTGGAGGGAGTGGATACTTGCTCAGTGTGGTGCCAATTAAGTGAGCTGCTTTGTTCAATGGTGTCAAGCTTCTTAAGCATTGTTGGAGCTGCACTCATCCAGGCAAGTGGGGAGTATTCATTACTCCTGATTTATGCCTTGTCAATGGTGGACAGTTTATAGGAAGTAAGGAAGTGTATTACTTGTCAAATATTCCCAGCCTCTGACCTATTCTTGTAGCTACTGTATTTTTATGGCAAGTCCAGTTGAGTTTCTGGTCAATGGGACCCCTCTTGATGTTGATAGTGGGAGATTCAGTGATGGTAAAACCATGGAATATCAAGGGGCAATGGTTAGATTGTCTCTTGTTGGAGACGGTCATTGCCTGGCATTTGTGTGGCACGATGTTACTTGCCACTTGTCCAAATCTTGTTGCATTTGAACATGGACTGCTTCAGTATCTGAGGAGTCAGGAATGGTGCTGAACGTTGTGTCATCATCGACAAACACCCCATTTCTGACCTTATGATGGGGGGGAAGGTCATTGATGAAGCAGCTGAAGATGGTTGGGCCTATGACATTACTCTGAGGAACTCCTGCAGAGATGTCTTGGAGTTGAGATGACTGACCTCCAACAACCACAACCACCTTCCTATGTGCCACGTTATGATTCCAACCAGAGAGTTTGCCCCCGATTCCCATTGATTCCAGTTTTGCTCGGGCTCCTTGATGCCATACTTGATCGATGTGGCCTTGATGTCAAGGACTGTCACTCTCACCTTATCTGGGAATACGAGATCATAGGCAAAGGAGTAGGCCATTCAGCCTCTCGAGCCTGTTCCACCAATCCATAATGGCTAATCTGTGACCTAACTCCATATACCCTGCCTCAGGCCATATCCCTTGATACCTTCCTCAATAAAAATTTGTCTCTCTTGGATTTAAATTTAACAACTGAATTAGCATCGGCCATCATTTGAGGAAGGGATTTCCAAACCTCCTATGTTTTACATGTAGAAATGCTTCCTAACAACTCTGCTGAATGGCCTGACTAACTCTCAGACTATAATTCCTGGTTCTAGAATCTTCACCTAGTGGAAATAGTTTATCTTTGTCTACCCTGACTTTCCCTGTTATTATCCTGAAGACCCCAACTACCCCTTATCCTTCTAAATTTTGGAGAACACAGGCCTAATTTGTCTAATCTCTCTTATGATATAACCCCAGAAGTCCAGGTATCACCCTTGTAAACCTGCACTGAACTCCCTTCAGGGCCAAAACATTCTTCCCAAGATGTGGTGCCCAGATCTGCTCATTGTACTCTAAGTGGAGTCATAGAGCTTTACAGCATGGCAACAGATCCTTCAGTCCAACTCGTCCACGCCAACCAGATGTCCTTAATAAATCTCATCCCATTTACTAGCATTTGGCCCATATCCCTCTAAACCCTTCTTATTCAGAAAGATGCCTTTTAAATGTTGTAATTGTACTAGCCTCCACCACTTCCTCTGGCAGCTCATTCCATACTCGTACCACCCTCTGCATGAAAAAGTTGCCCCTTAGATCCCTTTTAAATCTTTTCCCTCTCACCCTAAACCTAAACCCTCTAGTTTTGGACTCCCCCAAACCCAGGGAAAAGACCTTGTCTATTTACCCTATCCAACCCCCTCATGATTTTATAAACCTCTATAAAGTCACCCCTCAGCCTCCGACGCTCCAGGGAAAATAGCCCAAGTCTATTCAGCCTCTCAATATAGATCAAACTCTCCAACCCTGGCAACATCCTTGTAAGTCTCTTTTGAACCCTTTCAAGTTTCACAACATCCTTCCTATAGCAGGTTAACCAGGGTTTTATATAACTGCAGCATGATGTCTGCATCCTTGTACTCCAGCCCTTTATTTCTGATAGCAAGTATTCCATTACACTGTCTATTTTCTGCACCTGTTCATGGTATTTTAAAGAGCTTTGCACTTGAAGCCCCACATCTCATTAGACATCCACTGTTTTGAACCCACCACAGGTGTCAGGCTAACTGGTCTGTAATTCCCTGGTTTCCCTCTGTCACCCTTCTTAAACAATAGAGTGACTTTAACAACTTTCCATTCCAGAGGTACAAGCCCCGAGTCTGTGGAACTCTGAACTTGTGGAATTCAGCCCTTTTGTCCATGTTTGAACTAAGCTGTCATGTGGTCAGGAGCTGAGTGGCCCTGGCAGAACCCAAACTGGGTGTCACTGAGCAGCTTATTGCTGAGCAGGTGCTGCCTGATAGCACTATTAATGTCACTTTCCTAATAATCAAGAAATGATTGATAGGGAGGTAATTGGCCAGGTTGGATTTGTCCTGCTTTTTGTCTATAGGACATATCTGAGCATTTACCCCACATTGTCGGGTAGACACCAGTGTTGTAACTGAAACAGCGTGGTTAGGGGAATGGCAATTTCTGGAGCTCAAGCGTTCAGTAATATAGCCAGAATGTTGTCAGGGCTCAAAACCTTTGCAGCATCCAGCACTTCCAACCTTCACATAGAGTAAATCAATTTGGCTGACAACTGGTACCTGTGATGCTAGGGACCTCTGCAGGAGGCTGAAATGGATCAACTACTTGGCACTTCTGGCTGAAAACTGTTGCAAATGCTTTAGCCCTGTCTTTTGCACTAATGCGTTACCCATCCTTTCAGAAATCATAACGCTACACTCAGTGAATAATTTACAAATTAGAAATATAAAATGCTGCTTGAAATATGTTATAAATTTCTAGGCTGCCAAGTGGTCACTGTCAGGAATACAACAGTGGAATGTAGGCTGGATTAAATTCAATTTGCCAAATTTGAAATTTTTTAAAGAACTTAGATTGTTTCTCTTGCAGTCTCATGAATTTATTTCAGGTTCACCACTGACATGTGCCTCCAATAGAGATACAGCTTTAATTGAAATTACGCTCAATTCAATATTTTACTCACCTTTGCCTTCCAAATCTCTTCAATGAATTGCAGTCGGCTAAGCATGTTGGAGGACAACAGTTCTTGCATACTCTGCAGTAAACAGGCAAGCATTCGCTGCAATATGAAGTCAGTGTTGGTGAATAATAATATATAAAAGAACCAAAAACGTAGCATTCTCCCCTTTTTATCCCATTACAGAATGCCTACTTTACTTTGTTTTATGGATAATTATCAGTATCTAGATTATTTTCTTCTTCAACTGAAAACAAAACCTGTTTCTTTTTCCATTCTGATGAGTGTTCCATTTTATCCATAAAAATTGTCTTGATTGTCACCATTCCAAATATTCCAGAGTTAATATTCGAAACTAGTAAAAATGATTGCATACTTTACTCACACACACAGACCAAGCTCCCATTAAATATTTTGATGTATTTCTGTACTCAAGACAAGAGACATTAGCGTGGAGAAATAAAGCACTTGTCTATTTTAGATAATCAACTCAAATGCAGTTGCAAAGTTATGTTCCTTCTACTCCAAATCAAAAGTAATGCCATAGTTCCCACTTATACCAATGTTTTATTTCCATATCCTGCAGCAGTCAGCCTGTCCCTTCTTGATCAAGCTTTCCAAATATTACCAAATCAATGCAGTTTTATATTGAGGAAGTAAACAAAACCTGTGACTGCTTAAACTCACTAAACATAGAACAAATGACAAGCATGTTTTTGAAACACTTCCATTCCCCCAGAGTTGGAGTCAAAATCAGGACACTGACTTGAAAAAGCTGTGCTAATTAACAATGCCATTTATCCCATCTAGCTTTTTGCAATTACAACATGTGTTCTCAAGACAGAGGACAATGTGAGTCGGGAATTTAAGCAATGGAACAGCACCCAAACTCACCTTAACCAAAAAGGCAAGAATCTAAACATTCTTCCTTTCTTACTATTTTCAACAGAAACTTAAATATTTCATATCACTTCCTCCTGAATCTTGTTCCACAGATTCTGTGATATTACAGAGAGATTTGCTTGTGCCACTCAGGAGTGTCTGTGGTTGGCAGGTGGGAATCAAAGCAGTAGGTCAGCATGTGCAGTGATTGAGAGGAAGGTAGGAGTTAAGCCAAGTAAGTCACCCTACTGTACATCAGGGACATATCAGAGACGAGACCACAAGACTACTCAGACCCCTAGGTATCAGAGTAGCTCACAAACAAACAACCACCCTGCGACGGCTACTGACAAAGATAAAGGACCCCATACCCACATCCAATAAATCTATCATAATATACAAAATACCATGCAAGGACTGTGATAAACATTACATAGGCCAAACTGGAAGAAAACTGACAATAAGGATACATGAACACCAACTAGCTACCAAGAGACACGACCAATTCTCACTGGTCTCAATACACACCGTCAAAGAAGGACACAAATTCAACTGGGCCAACACATCCATAATCGCACAAGCCAAACAAGAAACTCCTAGAGGCTTGGCCATTCCAACTAGAACTCTACCAACAAACACTATACAAACGATATACAAACCACTGAAAAACAGAACCGGATGTGATGCCAACCACCCCATCAAACTGAGGCATATAAATAACAAGATGGTAGAAGCAGGAATAGTTAAGTGGCATTTAGACAGGAGTATGGACAGGCAGGGAACACAGGGATATGGAGCATGTACAGGCAGACGGGATTAGTTTGGAATGGCAACATTGTCAGCACAGACATGGTGGGCCGAAGGACCTGTTCCCATGCTGTACTGTTTCACAGTACGGCAAATTCTTGCCACCACTTGGCAACTGCCCATAGTTCAGAATATTTTTTCACTTCTGCTATAAATGTCGTCCCCCAATTTGTACATTCTATAGATCTGATCTAAAGAAATTCACCTACACGTTGACCAGAATCCAATACAACAGCGCGTTTAGGCATAGTCCCCTGTTGCATAATCTGTTGAATTTTCTCCATGGATGCCCTGGCAGCCAAAAGTCCAACAGGCAGGTCCATCTGCAAAGCCTGCTCTTGTAGAACAGAGGCTGGGAAAGAAACATTCTGGTTTGGTTAATTGCATTGGAAAAATTGTTGCAAAATTAAAAAATAATAAATGGAGTGTCTCTTACTGGTAACAACAGCATTTGTTATCCATCCCAAATTATCTTTGAAAAGGTGGTGATGAGCTGCCCTCTTGGTTACAATAGACTGACTTGTTCAACTATTTCAAAGGGCAACTAAGGGTCCATCACTTGCCCACAAATCAAGACTCACATTTAAGCTGGATCATGCAAGGATGTCATCAACATGAACTGAAGGTAAATGCTCAGTGACAAAGTGCACCAATGAACATATTGGGTTTAATTCCTGCTTCATTCAGTACTGGGCATTAAATACAACTAGCTGACTGGAGTCGTCACACTTTTTCGCTGAAATTTCATGTATATCAAATAACACTATATAACATAAAACAGAATCCATCATTCTAACACTAGAATATAAATGGACTAAAGTTTTAATTTTAAGTTTTCTCACTCTTACTTAGGCAATTTATTTTTCCTCACTCCGGTGTGGTTTTCTAACTATGACTATTTTTATTATTACATGCACAGTACATCTGAACTATGGCTCAATTAACATGTGCTGCAAACAAGTGGGAAAAACAATTAATACATAACATGCTGGACAGGGAGGCCTAGTTTTAAATTCTGGCTCAAGATGAGATTCTTCGCTAGGTTTCCCCCCAGCTTATTTTTGGTCTAAGCTGAGCTATTCAAAACAGTGTCATACAATGACAGGTCAGCATTCCACACTGCAGGATTCATAGTTTAATTGCAGTGGGAAGCATTTGGCTAACAGTCACATTATGGTTTAGAATTTCTATGGCATGATTTAGTGTCCTTAAATTGTTAGTACCGACTTCTTCCTTGTGTATTAATCTGGGATGTGAATTCCAACAATCTCAGCATTATTTGTCTGTACTACGTGTATTTACAGTTTAGTAAACTTCATGAAAAACTTCAAATCAGCATAATTCAAGTAGATATCAGGCGGTATTTTCTGTAAAAAATTTTATGAGCATTTGACCAGTATTTGCCAACCAATGGCTGTCTGTACAACCTATTGACTGGTTTCATGAAAGAATGAAACCAGTCAATGGAAAAATGTTGACTGAAATTACAAATACAAACTTATAATGGCAAAATTCCAGAAGCAATTGTGTAATAAACATACCTACAAAAGCGCCTTTACCAGCAGAATTGGCAATTTGATGCTCAGGATTAACTTTACCATAACGAGATAAACATTTACTCATTGATCCATTTACCTAGAAAAAAAAAGTTTGTTATTTATAACTAAAATCTCTGCTCTTGTTGCAAGAAATTGACTTTTCCCATGTGAAGAACTAAAATTGCTCACATTCCTGCAGATAAGAGCTGAGTTAGGATTTACCAACTCTATTACCTCTAGCAGTAGGTCACCAAGGTTCTGATGGTGCCTCAGAAACTGAATCACAGTCTCTTTCAGTTGAGGTTCTGAAGGGCATCTCTGTCTCCGTCTTTGCAGTCTTGTACCTGAAGAAATTAAAGTTATTGTGAATTTGCTTAATTGCTATACATCAACAAATGAAAATAATGATATCTAAAGCAATCAAAAAAAACTGAACAAAACGAAATTACACCATAATTAATTTTCCTCTGTTCCCTTCATTCTCGAACAATCCAAGGGTAATGGCCATATTTGGACCCATCCCCTCATTATTCAGATAACTATTCCACAAACCAATCCTATTCAGATACTTCTAGAAACTATATATACAACCACGAAAAAAATGGCTTGTCAAAAGACAGAAGTTAGAAAATAATCATATGCAGTTATCAATTTCTGATTGTTTACATGATCAGTACTGAACTTCCAAACTTCACGCAATTTATTTCAACTGTTGTCTTAGGTAAAAAAGTTATTTGTACATTGGTATTCGCAGTTTAGGTTATGGTTTTAAAGAGTGTGATGTAATGTTTTGTCCACATAGAGATCAAATTGACAAAATCCTTGTAACATGACTCAACATATTTCACCATTATAAATGAAGAATTTTTATTAAGTTATGTATATTTCTGCACTAAAAACTTTGGCATCACCCAGCATGCAATTTCAAGGCAGGCATTTCCACATTCTGAATTTGCCTAACCAAATAACTACACCACTATAAATTTAGTTATGAACTAAATTTCAACAGCTTCACTGGATGTGAAAGTTCAGTTAGGAAAGACCTATTTCCATTAACAGAGAGGTCAATACCAGATATAGATTTAAAACCAGTGACAGAAGAATTACAGCACAGTGTGGAGAGTTTATTTTTCACTCAGAAATCATGGGGGTCTGGAACTCTGTGCTTGGAAAGGGTGTTCGAAACAGAAATCTTCAGCACATTTAAAAAACATTTGGATGTGACCATGAAGCACTGCAGACTATAGTGGGATTAGGCCAGATAACTCTCTTTGGTCGTACAACAATAATAGGCAAAATGGATATTTTTCTGCTTTAATTTTTATGATTTGCTAAGCTCAATTCTGCCTCTGACTAATTGAAAAATGAAGGACAAATCACAAGACAAATCGAAATTGAAGGCTCTTAACCAACTTCGCTCATCCAACCTTGAAGATTCCTATGGAAGCGACTGCTGTTCCCAACACTATAATTTCAACAGGAAAACCATTCCAAGTGTTATTGCTCATTCTGCAAAAATATTGTTGCTGATATCTGTCTAAAATTTCCTTTCACATCTATATTGTAGCATATCTTGAACAAATGTTTTAGATTTAGCTCCTTTGTACCTCCAATATCTACTGTGCAGCGAGGGGGGGGTCCAATTTATGACTTCTAACTTATGAATGCAATCACATAAAGGGGTGTAATTTTAAACACCCAACATACAAGCATCTCCTATATTTATGAATAGCTCCTTTGTATTGTCCGGCATCGTGTTGCACTTGCGAACCTGCTCACAACTCAGGGATGGCCTGTACAGTCTAATTACAGTTAGACCACAATGCCTTAAAAAAGTGTGGAAGCAAAAATAGGCCAATTGGCCCATTGAGCCTGTTCTGCCATTCAATTGGGTCATGGCCAATCTGATAATCCTCAACTCCATTTTCCTGTCTTTTTCTCAAAAACACTTGATCCCCTTGGTGATTAAATATCTATCTCAGCTTTGAATGACTTAATGACCTAGCCTCTACAGCACTCTGCAGAAAAGATTTCCATAACTTCATTCCTTTCCAAGAGAAGAAAATCCTCTTCATCTCAGTTTTAAACAGGCTACACTTTAAATTGTTTCTTTTTGATGTAGGAGTCCTAGTTTATCCACTCTATACTGAGCTCCTTCTCTAATCTATTCTGTTTATATATTTTAGTTTAAAAGTTTCCATTATTGCTTAGTAACCAAAACTAAACACTGACGCAAGGTATTTTCTGGCCAAAGTACTGTACAGCTTTCGCAAGAAAGCTTCACACTTGAAGATGGCAGATCCAAAGATGTAATTAGGCTGTGTGCTTTGTGTACCACTACCTCAAAGAAAGATGACATTTTAAACCGATAAATCCCATGTCAGACCCATATCCCTTTCTGCTAAATTTTACCTGTTCCAAAAGCATCTAACTGATTTTTTTCCCCTTGTTGCGTGATATCTTACACTTCTTAGACTATATGACATACAACCAGTGATTTACTCAACTGCATACACTTTTTTGGAAGATTCTTAGCTTATTTTGTATGTTGTCAAACACAATGTTATACTAATTATCAGCTGATCAGTACATTCTACTTTAGATCCTAAACGGATTTAACTAAATTGACGTGATCCACGAAGAGGCAATGTTTAAAAATAATGTCCATTTCATCCTAAGTATTAAAATAAAAGAGCTATGTGGGTTATGAAGCAATGCAAACTCACCCAACAATTGTGGGAGTGTCTTCTTCTGAGTCACATCAGTAGAACAGGATAGATACCCGGAGGCAATACTGGACATTCTGCACGTTACACAAACAGCACTGTCACATTCATGGGAGAGCAAATAAGCAAAGCCTAAGCTGACACCCACTTTCTAACTGGTTCACATCTACATTAAATCATACTTTAGCTTTAATTACAAATAGTATTAACACTGGCACAGATACAACAACGGGAATAACAAGCATTAATTCACTCTACTGTTATTGGTCCTACTCCTGTGGTTTGAATTACGAGCCCCGATAATTTTCTGCAATTCTAGTAATCGCATGCTGTGTCAACTATTTAACTCACTACTGAGTCTGCATGAATATTTAATGCATTAATGAACTTACTTTTTTTATTTTGCAAAAATGCTTTCATGAACAAGCTGCCTATTACTGCAGTCCATTAAAAAGTAACAGCCCTGCCACTCCAAGCTCCTTCCCTTCTCCGGTTGTGTTTCGGTATCTTTCTTTTCCTGATCACTTCCGTCCTCCTGCTGTCCCGCGCTGCGACACCATTGGTGGATTGTTTTCCGGAAGTTGCTATCCATTGGTGGGTAAGTGTTGATTGACAGCTCTCCCGGGCCAAACTGATGTGCTAAACCTAAACTTTACACAGTAGTCTACATGTTCAACTAGTTTCCAATCCTGTAATTCTTTTGACAAGGTGACATGAGCTATAAATTTCTTATTTTTCTGCCAAATCGTAGGCTTTAGAAAGCAACTTAAAATGAACAGAAAACATAGAGCAAGTGAGTTGAATTTTAGTTTACTTAAATATAATTGCTACTTCAGTTGTTCTTTACTCTGATTTTATCCAACAACAGAAAATACTATTAAGAATATTAATCATGGAAAATATGTTCAATAATTGAAAGTACTTATGTACATGCTGGAGGGTGAGAACATGCTGAATGGTCATACAAATAACGAAGTCTAGAATCCGTAGTTGATGTAGGTGAATCAAGAGAAACATTAAAAAAAACTTGCTGTATCTTGCTCAGCTTTTCCGACTTTCATTGTTTACAAGTTGACAGACCCAGAAACACTAACACATCTCTAATGAAACAATCATCTACTAAAAGACTATTAAAATCAGTCAACAGGTGGGGTCATTAATTTGAGGGGATAGAATTGAAAAGTAGAAGAGTCATGTTAATCTTGCATTTTACAGCCTTGGTCAATCCACGTTGAGAGTGCTATGCAAAGCTCAGACTCAAAATTACTAAAACAAGGTAGAGATATTGAAGAGTGTGAAAACTTAATTATGAGAATAATACTGAAACAGAGCTTAACTATTCAAAAAGGTGGAACAGGCTCAAACTCTGCTCTAGAAGATACACAAGAGCCTCATGTCTTTGAAAACAATGTTAAAGATCTTGATCAGACAGAAACAAAACTAATGTTTCTGTTTGTCATGGAATTAGGGAGAATCAAATAAGTGGTCCAATGAGATTAAAGTGTAGTAATAGGTGAAGGATTTAGAGCCATCAAGCCAGCTATAGCATTTAGAAGTTCAGCCTTGACCATACTATGCCAACTATACATTCTTGCCTGATCCCCAAGTCCTTAATGCCATTGTGCCCAAAAATCTACGGAGCTTAGTTTTTAATACACATATTTACTGAACATCACCTTCTGGTACAGAGAATTCCAATAATTCATGACAATTTTTCCTCATTATTTCTAAATGGCACTCGATCCAAAGGAAATCTTCCAAACATCCTTTCACCATATATGCTGCCACAATTGTTAATATTCTTAGGAGATTATCTCCCATCTTCTAAACCCTGGAGAATATATATACTCATTCTGCTCAATTGTCTCTCATATGTCAGCTTTTGCATCTTAGGAATCAATCTAGTGAAGTTTTGTTAAACTACTCTAAGGCAAATATATCTTTTCTAGGGTAAAAAGATCCAAACTTTATACAGTACTCTAGATCTGCTTTCAGCAAAAGCAAATAATAATTGCAGCAATCCTTACTTTTTCTTGTTGTCCAACGCCCTTTCATAAGTGGTTCTCAATTGCTTGTTATAACAGTATATTAACTTTGTGATTCAAGGACAAGGACATCTAGATACCTCTGATCACCAACAGGTAGAAATCTCGCATCTTTCAAAAAGTATCCTGCCTTCTCATTCTTCTCACTAAAGTGAATAATTCCAGACTTCTACCATGTTCCTGCCCAATCATTTAACGAAGCTATATCACCTTGCAACTTGTTTGTTGTCCAAACAATTACTTGCCCACATAGCTTTATATTAACAGTAAACATGGATATATTACACTCAGTCCCCTTCTCTAAGTTACCTGTAAATAGCTTGGGCTCAACCACTGATTCTTGTGGTACTAATTACCTGCTATCCCAAAAATGCCCATTTATTCCTGTTCACTCTGTCTTCTGCCTGTTAATCAATCCTCAATCCATGCTAATATATTACTTCTACTCTCATGGCCTCTCCCGAGAGGAATAGATGAGACGAATAACAATAACGCCTTTAAAAGTGATCTTTATATGCAAATAACAAGGAAAGAAATAAATGGATGTAGCTGGAGAGGAATTAGTGGAAGTATGTTTGGAGCATAAATGGTGATATATGCAAGTTGGGCTGATTGTTTCTATACTGCATGGTTAATGTGAAGTTCAGAGTGGAACCAGCTAACATGCTTCTCTTATGTGTATAGGTACCACCTCAATTGTTGTTCTGTGCAAAATATTTACAATGGAAGGTTCTATTTTTGGTTAAAGGAAGTAATGAAAATTCTTTGAATAAAAATGCGAAAACAAAGTAAGTTTTGGAAACAGATTATTTTGGGAGGGAATCTGGAAACTGATTTGCGAGTGCCATCTTCTTGGGAGATTCTGCGCTTTGTCTTCCTCAGTCATCTATTCCTTCACCACCTGCAGCTTACACAGTAATGGAGTCCTGCAGCACACATTTGAGGAGATTCTCAACTCTCCAGTAACTCCAGCTATTCCCCAAGTTCTGAAATTGGAGCTTGAGCAAGTGATGGCATTTCACATACTCATGATTATTCAGGATACATGAAATGTTCTGGAATTCCAATGTAGAATGGGATGTGCATTCAACAGGGCCCAGCTCAGAATCATTGATATCTTGACCAGTGCAACACTTGGTACTGAACTCTCAAAATCTAAGAAAGAATGGTACAATTGTTCTGTAAGCAAAGTTACATAGCCATTGCTATTTTACATGCATGATAACTGTAAAATTAGAGGAACGTACCCTCTGAAATGTCAACCTCAATCTGCGCAAGGTCATGATGATGTTTAAGGTGAATGATGGAGTATTTTAAAGTTGAGGTACTGGGAGGCTGGAAGCTGGTGTAGACCATGAAGACAGAGGTGATGGGGAATGGGATCTAGCGTAGTAGAGGATACAGGTGGCAGAGGTTTAGATAAATTAAACTTTATGGAACGTTAGCTTGGAGAGCATTGAGGAGTTGAATCTGGAGGTGCCAAGATCCTGGCTCAGGAGTTAAGACGCCAAGAGACAAAGGTGAGCATTTTTTGGGTAGAGCGGGTACCAATTTAGAAACTTTGCTTGTGGCTTACTAAGAAGTTCATGTTGCAGTCTCTGACCTTGTGCGGGTTTTATAGTTTTGGAATTATAGACCCGGTTTTCTGTTTAGCAATTACAGTGTTGCCTTGGATTTATCCTGATTAGTACTATGAAGTGAATAACCAATGCATTAATTTCCTGATCTCAGCCATGTTACAAGGAGGAATTGATTGCAGCTGCTTGTCACTTTTGCACTAGGGACAGGGTTGAACGTGTCTGAGGATATCAAGCTCATGTATAACTCTAAGCTTTACAGGAAAAAGTGGGAAAGGACTGCCAACAGCCTGCAGCAAGCATTGTTCTTTCAAGGAAATAAAGTCTGAACACCATTTGAAAGACTTTTCTTCATTTACTTTGTAAAATTAAATTTATTTCTCCATTAATTAGTATTATTAAAACTTATGCGAGTGAGTCTGATTATTACACATGATTGGATGACTTTGAAACTTTCACCTCCCTGCAGCTATTTGCTCCAGTTCATATGTAGTGATTTTTATTACAGCATTGCCTCCACTTGTAAGCCACTTCTGAAGTGCTCCAATTAGCAGTTCATTTTGTAACCCTCATTAGCTTACAACTCTCTTATAGCAAATTTCAACCAATTTGATTGCAGTGTGTAGGATATCTGTTGCATCTGATTGTCTGTTGAATCTAATTTGTTAGCAAATGAATTAAGATAAATGTTTTGCAAAAAATAGCTGAAGTGTATGTTACTGGAAATAACAGCTCAAATCCTAACTTGTACTCAGTCAGGGTCATTCTTGTCATGTGTTCAAGTAGGGTGTAGTTATGTATATTAAAATTATGTGTACATCAGTTGTTACTGAAGTGACTTTACGTATCAGTTATGACAAATGTTTCCTCAAAATTAATTGAGATATAAGGAAGTTCTCATTTTTAAACCAACCTGTCTCATTACCTTTAGCTTACTAAGCCTGCATTTTAGCATTCAATACATTGTGGATATCTTTATTGTATATGCAGATTCCCATACACTTTAGATTTTTGACTCTCCAAAAAGATTAGCACAAGTTACTATTATGTATAGAGCTTTGTATTGCAAGACAGATTACCAATAAAGATTGCTTGAATCTGAGGTTGTGACTGTGTGGAAAGGTAAGAGATGAAATATTTTGACACAGGGTAATGCAAATTTCATACAGTTTATATTTCACACTTATTTGGACTGAGGGTCAGTTGAAATCCATGTCTTGTGATTTTGCCTATTGAACCAACCTTTTATCCCTAGGTCTCTCTGTTTATAGCTCATGTTCCACATTTTACTTTCATGATTACTGGAGGACCTCAAACCTAAGATGTCTAATTGGACTTTAAACATAATCTGTTCTTTTTTATGACCAAAACATTATCTATTTTGATGTTAGCTGATGGGTGGTTAGATACATGCAGCTAAAAAAATGTTCATAAGTATTCAATTGCCTTGACCAATGGATTTTTTTAACAGAACCAAGACAATTCTGTCTTGTTGAAGTACCATGTTTAATCCAAGTACAAACTGGCAGCCCATAAGACTTTCTCCTACCAGAATTAGATTTATCTTGACATTAAAAACTTGAACGAAAGCTTTAAGATGAAATAAAATTCTTATGTTTTTATTAAAGTTTCAGTAATTTATGGACATGAATGAGTTAAACAACTTTGATTTTGTGGAACTATGGACTTGATGTGACACTATATGAATGGTTTTATTTAGTTTTTTTCCTTTCACTTTTACTAAATGGGTAATTGCTTCTACAGGTTACATAGAGACGAAGTAATCAGTTATTAACTATAATGAATCAGTAGTTACCTGTCCTTGGCCTGACATCCCTGTCTATTTAGTATGCTGCTCTGACTCACAATCAGCAATAACTCATTTCTCTG